ACTTGGACAGTGACGCTATCAGAGTCTGGTGTCCCCTCTCTATTGGGGAGTTCGACTGTGGGTGATAGGCGGTGGCTATCGAAACTCTCGCACCGGCTCTCCTAAACACGCTCTGGACCTCGTCGGCTAGGAATTCCGCCCCTCTGTCCATCACTATCTTGCTGACACAACCATACCTAGATAAGTACTCTAGGACAAAGTTCTTTACTTCCTTTGCCGCCTTACTCCTGATAGGTCTACCGTCCATGAACCCAGTGAAATCGTCTCGTATGTTCACGACGTAGTTCATATGGCCTACCCCTCTCGGCATTTTCACTAGATCGATGTGTACCTTCTCTCCTGGTCTGGTCGGATAGAATGGATGAAGTGGCTCTTTGTATTTCACAAGAGCTCTCTTCTGGCACTCTTCACATGTCATTCAGTACCTCCCGGCGTCCTTATATTGTCCTTCCCACCAGTACAGTCGGCGTATCTTTTCGTAGGTTCCTTTAACTCCCCTGTGTCCTCCGACTACCCCGTCGTGAAGTTCCACAACTATCATTTGTCTCTCCTCAGGATCACAGACTGCTCGTAAGGGCATTCCCGACCCTACTGGCCTTCGAAAAAGGTGCCCCGCTCTAAGGCAGTACTGGGCTGCTTGCGTCCGGATATCTGAATTTTGACTCTCTTCTCCCGTCTAGTGTAGTCCGATCATTCGGTACTTGTTCTCGTAAAGATTAACTAGAAATCTCTCGGCGCGTCTCGGCTCTGCCATTGTCAGAGCCCCAGCTACTATCGGACGCTCGAGAGGGATGCGTGAAAGTCCATCTGCCACAGCATTTTTAGTACCAGATATTCTCTCGACCGTGTAATCGTATAGCCGAATCCGTATTAACCATCGGGCGATGGTCGGGTCCGTCAGACTAAAGTCCTTCTGGAGGACAGCGGCAACCGCGGTGGGGTCTACTCTCAAGATGAACCGTCGCCCATAGATATAGTGTCTGAACGTGTTTAGACACCGGAGAACAGCTAACACTTCCTTCTTGAATTGACTGTAGTTACGCTCAGCCGTATTAAGTGTCCTACTCTCAAATCTTAACGGTCTTTCCTTCCCTCTAGCGTCCTTCTGAGACAACAAACCACCCACTGAACATGGTCCAGCATTCGTGGATACTATGAAGGGTCTCCCGGTCTCATCGTCAAAGAATGGCACGCCCAACACGCGTCCTCCCTCCTTAAATTCGTCTTTAAGTTCTTGCATTGCGAGTTCCTGCGAAGAATTCCAATAGAAGTTCTCAGTCTTTCGTAGGAGTAACCTCAATGGCTCAGCCTTCTCCGCATACCCCCGTATGAATATACGTCAGTAACCGACCACTCCCAGAAACTGTCGGACCTCGGTTGGGCTATGTAACGGTGACGGCCAGTTCAGGAGTTTGTCTAACTTCGCCGGGTCTCCTCGGCGTCCTCTCGAGTCACATATAAAGCCCAAGATCTTAATAGTCGAGACAACCCATCGGCTCTTGGTTCCTCTGACTGTCAAATTCGCTTCGTCCAGCTGCTCGAGTACCGCGCAAATGTATGTTAGGTGTTGCTCGACGAATCTTCTAACTCCAGGTATAACCTCTGTCTCATCCCTGTCTACTGGTCCTTTTATAGGAAAGTCATACAGAAAAACTTCAACCTTATCAGGGATGAAGTCCTTGAGGACGGCTACCATAGCTCTCTGAAAAACGGCTACCCCATTAGTTTAACCCATAGGGACAACTATCATTTGAATCAGTCTCAATGGCGTATGCATAGCCGTGAGGTGTCTGTCCCTAGGGTCAAGCGGTACCTCATCATAGCCTGAGAACAGATCACAGACTGAATAGATCGACCTACCTGCTGCGCCTTCTGCCAGTAAATCGGCGTGTGGCACGGAGCCCACGTCTCGTATCGTCACCGCGTTGACCTTCTGAAGGTCCTGGAACCATCGGATCTTACCATTCGGCTTTCATAGGAAGAACCATCGATTTGCATAAGCGCTATCAGACGGCTCCGCAACGTGGGAAACCATCTTTTCTTTCAGCAAGGCGATAACTTTTTTCTTCTCCTTCTGGGCGTATTTTCATCCCGCGTCGTTCTAGGGAACATGTGGTATCGTGTAAATCCTTGCTGGTTTAGCGTATCAGGGGTCAATCCTACCGCGCTCCGCGTCGCTGAAAGCTATGGCCTTATCACATGTCTTCAGGATTTCTATCACACGTTCTCGCTCATGTGGGGTCAAATTTCCATCTCCGATGTCCATCCCTGCTATCCTCTCTTCCGTTAGGCGTTGCAGCTCGTTTTTCTTTCTTTCTTTGATTTCTTTTGCGATCTCTCCTTCCGATATCCCTTCTAGTGCAGATCGCTCGCGACCCACCGCTGCTGGCTTAAGTTTTTGCGCTACTCGTTTGTGTCGCTTGGGTAGTCTCCCATAGGGGGCCGTGCCCTTAAAAAAGACACGGATAYCACACCGCCAAATTCCTCATCTTTTTCCTTTGGGTACGAGTTGCCGTCCACTATTAGCCGACTCCCTAA